AGTTTTGAGATATGTTGTTATTATTCTCAAAATAATACTTCTCATCATTTGAATTTTCGAACAAACACCCCAAATTCTGTAAATCTCATAAAGTCTCCAAACATCTAAAAAAATGTAGATTTTTTTGTTTAATTTCGTCGATTTTGAGTGAGTTTTATAGAAAACTAATCCTATGAGAAAAATGAGGAGTAAAATAATAATATTTTGATACCAATTTTGTCTCAAAGACAATCGATTATGGGCGGTAATTGTCTTTCGACGTCAAACAGAAAGTATAGTGCCAAAAAAGTAAAATGTTTAAAAGTTCAGTGAAAAATCGATACACCCCTATTTTTTTTATTAAATGCACTCCTAAAATTCACAATCTAAAACTACGTCGTTTTAAGCATCAAAATAATTGTACTAAAACGAAGTCATTTTGGTGTGGTAGACAACGTCAGCAACCATTAGCCATATCATCGTCTCGTTAGGGCCTTAATGACGAAGTGACATAATTGAAAGTTTAGTTATAATTGATAAAATTGAAAATTTAGTTATATAAACTATTAGACAAAATGTTAATACGATATAAAAATAATAATAAAATAAATGAATGTTATTATTAAATCGAACGGGTAAAATAAATATAAAATTTAAATAGATGAATGAAACTGTTCACTCATATGTATACGATGACCATAGTCTTATAAACAGAAGAATAATTTTGTTGATGTATATATGAATAGTTTCCTTAAAATAAATTCATCATCTTCTCAGTGCTTTAAGTAACATTGGATGTCAGTCTCTCATGATACAACAACAAACGATCATAACAGTAAGTACAACAATAGTGATTAATCAAACACAATTTTGTCTCTCTATTACCGAAAATAATGGATTTGGAAGGACTTTTTAAAGCATTTTTCCTATTCCAAAGTTCTAAAGTTATGTCAAAATTTGTGCCTCAACTAACCTATTTATAACGGAGATGAAATGAATCAAAAGATTATGACGTTTTGATGAAGAGTTAAGACTATTTGATGAAGAGATTTGTTAAAAAAACTAATAGATATAATTGAGTTTATACAATTTTAAACTAAAAAATAAATCTATTCGCCTAGTGACATAACTTATTATAATAAATCTATTCACTAAATAGTGACTTATTAAATAACATCAATTTTATTCAATTACTTTATTATTTTTCAACATAAACGAGTCAGTGATCAAAATCATTGATATATGTTATAGTTTACTCTTTGTTTTATAACTTTTTGAGAAAGTTTATGTGTAAAAAGTATATATATATCCTATCATTTAAAATATTATTATTTGTAAGGTTTAAATCTTAAGTGTCTTATTAAAAATATATTATATCTTATCGCTGAATTCAACATTTGTTATAAAAAAAAGTAAAATTCGTTTCAAACTAATTAAACAGACGACTTTAATTAAATTAATTTTGATTAAATAGATTATAATATCAATTTAATTAATTAACTTTTTATTATTAGAATACATAATTGAATTGATTGACTTAATATATATTTATTATTTTTAATTATTTTGAATATATCATAAATAATATATTGTTTTTATTCTTTATTTAAAAATAGAAATCGATTAATTGATTTAACTAACCGGATTAATCCATGTTAAATTGATTATATGTTATAACCATAAAAGTTATATATATATACAAATATTATATAAAAAACAATTAAATTATACAATGAACACTCAAGCATTTTGCAGACGTCGTGCTTGAACTCGAAACTTTTAGAGATAATAATCGTCTCATTTTTTTAATACTCGAGGGTGATTACAAGACAATATCAATCCATAATATATTTCTTAGTCATTAACAATACCCTTCAAACGCAATTGTACGGACCCTCATTTTAAAATAAAACAACACACTTTTTAATCAGTAATGTCACTCAATAACTTTAATAACTATCTTTTTTTAGCTACGGAGATTATTTGATTCATTCATTCTCTTGTCTATATTTTATTATCATCAAAGATAGAAAATATATATTTTTACATTTACCTTATCTTATTTTCACGGGGCCTAATGGCATGTATCAAGAGATTAATTAATTAATTAATTAATATTTGATTATCGTGCATGTTTCCTGACATGCCTCTCTGGACCACTTACATGAATGTCAACCATCGTTGTGTAATCAATCATCATGGATCAAGCTACTTTATTTATTGTTCATCCTATTCAATTATACAGAGCTTCTTTCGTTAATTTATTATATATTGCAACTTTGCAAGCAGCGGCATCTGTGGCGTGCAAATAAATTATATTTAAATATTGGCTAATTTACATAAATAGATATTAAATTTTTAGAGTGTTTGTATTTTGATTATTAAATTGTTATAATTTACAATATAATTATTAAAATTGTAATTTACTCTCATTATAGTCATCATTCTCAACTCCTACTGAAAAATACTGATGTCACATATTAAAGTCATTCTTTTTTAAAAAATTGAAGTTTCTCCTTTAGCATTCACCATCACCGTCCACTGTTCTTCGAATCATCATCAACAACAACAACAAAACTCTATTCCCATATGCAATGGGGGTAAGGGGGAGGTAGGGTAGTAGGATGTCCCCAACGCCAGGTTGAGAGCAGCTTCCGTGGAAGACCTCCAGCAGTAAGAAAATTAAAAATAAAGATAAAATACAATTCATATATAAATAAATAAATAAATACATAGTTGAACAGTCTTCATGCGCGTCTGTAATGGGAAGTAATCCCTGCAAATAAATTCCTGCGTAAAAATCTCTGCATATAGACAGAAACGTAAGTCCCGGCTAAATTTAAAAAGAGGAAATATGTAGAGAAGGATAACCAAAAGTCAGCGATAGCAAGCTACTAGAAGGAATAAAGTCGAATGGGTTAAAAACCTAAACAAAGGCAACACTACTCCGCTACCCTAGTTCTAAGCCTTCATAAATTCCAATGACAGAAGCGTATAAAAAGTATAAGTCATGGAAATTACTACAAAGGCATTAAAAAGAAGACATATATGTTGCACCCTATGGCTGTGACCCACACTAGTCGGCTACCCTGGTCTTAAGTCTCCATACTTTCTTATCAGAGGTCATGTCCTTGGTAAGGGCAAAATCCTTCAAATCATATCTCAATCAGTCTACCCACTTCCTCCTTGGTCGTCATCTCCTTCTGGCACCATCGATTGTAATCGACTCTACCCACTATACTCAAGAGCTTCATCATCTTCCAACGACCACAAAACCAATTAGTACAATCAATTCATCTAAGTTCCAAACATCGTAACCACAAGCTATCATCCAAGACCATATAATCCAAGGACGGAGTCAAGATTAACTATTGACAAATATCAAAATATTTAACTCTTTAAGAAAATTACAATGACTTGTTAGATATTTAAACTCAAAATTAGAAAACAATGCATATTTTATCTAATATTTAAATTTATAGTGACATAGATTATTATTAGACCAAAAAATTTAAGAACATGAGATTTAGTTCAACCCCTACTTAATTAAATATGTAATAAATTATTGTATTTTTTTAAATTTAAATACTTCTTTTTACATGAACCAAAATACTATTAAACCAAAGTATATAGAATATATAAATTTTTTACAGGACCGAGGCCTCTTTGAGCCCTAACAGAGCTTCGTCTCTGATATCATCACCAATCCAATTTGGTCATCGTCTGGCGCCATAATTATTGATAACACCAAACAAAAAATAACAAAAATAATCAAAGAAATAAAGAAAATAAAAGAAAAATTACTCACCTCGATCTTAGAGAATTTCAATGAGTGAAGTGGTTGTCGGCCAATCCTAATGGTGGGAATGTTCCGTTTGGTAAGAAGATTAACATAATTCGATTTCAAATACATTTGATGGTCGACGGTGATGGATCAGAAAGATTTGGCTTTTAGTTTTAATTAGGATTTGAGTAGATCAAAAAACAAATCATCGAGTTTGAAGCAATAAAAGAAGAAGTAAAGTAGTTTGATGATCTTTTCGACCAAAGAAACTACTGGACAACAGTAAAAACACTGACGGAAGGAGGAGCAATGACTGCCAATTTCAAGTCTAAAAAACTTAGACATGCCACGTCAACGTTTATTAACATCAATTGACGACAATAAGCGTAGTGAAATCGAATTAAAAGTTCAGTGATTGTTAGCATGTTTTAAAAGTCTGGTGACCATAATACAAATAACCTAAAAGTTCAGTGACTCTATATGTAGTTAAATATTTATAAAAATTAATATCTAATCATCTTTATATTACTAACAATATATTTAAATTAATTTACTAATCATAAATATTTCTCCCTTTAAATATCAGTTTAGCCTATATGTAGCGGCATCATTATAAAGCATCTATGGCAAAGATACTGTCCCTACTCAATAATCAAAAGTACTAATAAGTGATTTATGATTTAAACTTTAAAGAAACGCAGATTCCCTTTATTAATTGAGTCCTAGTTTTCTTTAGTTTTTCTTATATTAATTACAATTTAATATATATATATATATAATATTATTAATTAAAAATTAAATATGTGATTTAGTTTAATGGTGAGCTGTGCCTATTCCACTCGAAATGCCCATATTTGAGTTTTCTTATTCATTTCCTTTTTCTTTTCGTATTTTCTTTCAATCAAGACACGCTGTTATTTAATTGATAAATTAAATTTATTAAATAAAATAAAATAAATATAATTACAAATAATAAGAGTAAAATATATAAATATATAATTTTATTTAACTGTTACATGAACATCACTATCAATGACTTGATTAATATTATTTAAATAATGAAGTGATTTGATTGATAAATTTTTAATTTAATACTCAAATTAGAATCACTCTTAAAATTTAGTGACTATATAGGTAAAATTATACTTTCATTTTAAAAAAAGAAATTCTGAATCCTGACTTGGACATTTAATTCTAATCTAAGCATGACTAAATCGGAGGCATTAATTAGACTCTGTCAAATTTCGTCAGCTCAGCTTTGTTAATTGGTCGAAGAGTGGATCGCACCAAGTACAAACTCTATCAGTCGGCTACTCAACCTCTCTCATCTTCTCTTTTTGAGTTTCGCCACCAACCCTTCCCTCATCACCATTGTTGTTTCCTTGTTCATCTGCAACTTAAAAAAACCTCACTCTTTTTTCATCTTTAATTTCATCTGAACCCCAAAATCATATCCTTGGGATTGGTACAAATGGTGATGTCAAAGCGTTGCCATAGGTTTTTCAAGTTCAGGGCTTTAATTTCTTGCCGAATTCAAATTCCCAGTTGCCAAAATATTTTCAAGTTTTAGAATCTTTGTTATTTCGATCTCCAGAAAACCAGGGTTTCATATCATTTCCTCAATCAAAAGCCTTCTCTTTAATTTACTTTGGCTGACTCGAAATATTCCCTCTTTTTCCCCCTATATCTACCCTACAACTTTTTTTTTTGGCTTTGGGTTATTTTGTTTTTTTTCTCTTATAGATATTCTTGAATCTTGTTCTTATCTCTGGAAAATACTAAATGGTTTCCAAGGACTACTACTTGTTCTTACGTGCAGTTGTGGAAATGGCTTGGATTATGCTGAGTGTGGATTACTCGAGGCTGTTTTGGTTATTGTTTGGTGTTTTTTCCTACGAAAATCATGAAGGAAAGCCTCGGATCATCTAGCACATCTTCAAAATTCCCTTTCTTTTATCTGCTGCGTTGTTCTTAGTTCTATATTCTAGTAGGCTACTTAAGTGTTCTATTTGTGTTCTCAATATATATATATATATATATATATATAGATATATACTACAATAAGCACGCCTGATTTCTCAGACCATGTACAAGACACGTCTAGGTGGATGTGTTGATGGAGTTAAATCTCAGCTTGGATACGTTGAAACCGATCCATCCGGTCGGTACGGACGAGTAAGCTTTCTTCTTCATTCACTCTAAATCTTTTTGCCTTTTGATTGATGCATGGATTCAAGATTTTCAGTAGGAACAACATCTTATATCGTTTGCTATGACAATGGAGAATTTGCATGTCATATTTGACTTTTCTTTTTCAGTATGAATAAAATCTTATATCTTTTGCTATGACAATGGATGATTTGCATGTCATATTTGACTTTTCTTTTTCAGTAACAATTCCTTTTGAGATGTGGGGTTCTGATTATTTGAGGTTATATTGGGATGAACGTAAAGACTAATAAAGCATCCTTCATGTGCAGTAAAATTTAAGCTTAATTCATAGTTTTTTAAGATTATTTATCAACGGCCTTTTCAGATAGTGTCATATAGAGATTCTTGCATTTTTCCTGGAAAATCTGGGAAACAGTTTTTGATGATCAAATCAAAGTAGTGAAGCTTACATGTAAATAAAATTATATTTACCGTTCAAGCTTTAACATGATTGAATCTGTGAGAATTCTCTCTGCAGTTCAGAGAGATTCTTGGTAAAGGAGCTATGAAGACGGTGTATAGGGCATTTGATGAGGCCCTAGGAATGGAGGTGGCATGGAATCAAGTGAAGCTTAACGATGTCTTCCGTTCACCGGATGAATTGCAGAGGCTTTATTCCGAGGTCCACCTCCTCAAGAATCTCAACCATGATTCAATCATCAGATTTTACGCTACTTGGGTCGATGTCGATCGTAGAACTTTTAACTTCATCACCGAGATGTTCACCTCTGGCACACTACGAGAGTAACCATATAATAACACTTTATTGAAAAACTCACATTAGTGTTGTTTTAGTGTAAGTTTTAGCATGTTGTTTGATAAATTGCAGGTATAGACAGAGGTACCAACGTGTCGACATGCGAGCAGTTAAGAGCTGGGCTCGCCAAATTCTGCAGGGTCTAGCTTATCTACATGGCCATGACCCTCCAGTGATCCATAGAGATCTTAAGTGTGATAACATCTTTGTCAATGGCCACCTTGGACAAGTCAAGATTGGCGATCTCGGACTGGCTGCCATTCTTCGTGGCTCACAACATGCCCATAGTGTCATAGGTATGCTCTAAATTTCCACCATCTGTCTCATTTCCGGGTAGCCGTGTGTATGTTTATATGTTAATTTCTTCAAACTTGCATCCGCTACTAGGGACACCAGAATTTATGGCACCAGAGCTATATGAAGAAGATTACAATGAACTAGTTGATATATACTCCTTTGGCATGTGTGTATTCGAGATGCTTACTTCTAAATATCCATATAGCGAGTGCTCCAATCCGGCTCAAATCTACAAGAAAGTGACTTCGGTGAGTTATATCAGCTTCGTTAATTTCAACAATAAACTGACAGATTAATCTAAGACAATCTTTCTATATTCATCAACCCTCCAGGGAAAGTTGCCAGAGGCATTCTATAGGATCCAAGATGAGGAAGCCCGAAGGTTTATCGGAAAGTGCCTGGAGAATGTTTCCAAGAGGTTGCCTGCTCGTGAACTCTTGCTTGATCCATTTTTGGCCTCTGATGAAGAGAATCTGCAGTCCATCCTGAGAGTCTCGAGCCAAAAACTAACTCATAAAGGCCCAGTCGCAGAGCTAGCTCCTTCTTTAAAGGTTGATCCAACAAGGAGTACTGATATGTCGATAACTGGCACAAGGGATCCCGAAGATGACACAATTTTTCTCAAAGTACAGATTACAGACAAGGAAGGTACTATTGCATACATACTGAAGAAGTTTGCCTACAAGATTCTTGATCAATGGTTTCCCTTATTACAGGTCATGCTCGGAATATTTATTTTCCCTTCGACATAGTAAACGACACGGCAATTGATGTTGCTTTGGAGATGGTGAAAGAATTAGATATTGATGACTGGGAGCCATTGGAGATTGCTGATATGATAGAAGAGGAAATATCTTCACTTGTCCCGACTGGGAAGGACTGGGGCACCTCTCAAGTTCACCATCAGCACAGCTTTAAGTACGATGATGATGATGAAGATGATGACCAAAGTGGAATCTACCATCCTTTCTATGCTACCTCCTCCCATTCTTCCTACGACGCACAATTTTCTCATGGGAAAAATTCCATTTCTAAGTGCAATTGGTCCCAAGGTACTTGTAATGTTATCTTTGTTTGTTGGAAAATATAACATGCATGTTTATATCTATACCAGTCTTATTTTGCTGTCCGCCATTTCACAAGATTTGTTCATTTTTGTAGATGTATTCAGCAATGATGATGCAAGTTTCAGCTGCTCTATGAACTCGTTCCAGTACTCTAGCATGAATTACGAGGACGACTTTGATTCGAGTCTCCATCAAGGGGAGCACCCCTGCATTCCAAACACCCTCAAATCTACACGATTTTGTCCGTCAAATAGCACGAGTGCTTACTGCTACAAACAGCGCGACCCACAACTTGATTCATGGAGGTCTTTCCATTTCAATGGCCAGCGGAAGCTAACAAAGATCCGTTCACTCGTGGACATACGCAGCAAATTGCTGCACCAATCAGTAATGGCAGAGATAGACAAGAGACGCCTATTTAAGACCATTGGAGCAGTGGAGAACATTGGATATCAGGATCCGGGAGAGGTGTCACGCAAGGCATATCTCGAAGACAGCATAAATGGAAGGATTTTTCAATCATGACCAAGATTTCGAGGGAGATTTAGGCGGTGAAGATCCCATCCCATTAATCTATCTGTTAATATGGTAGTTTCTTTCAGAGTGAGGATGTACAAATTCCGAATCCTCCATCTGGTTTGGTGTAGTAAATAATGCTAGGTTGTAGACATGTTCAAGACTATGAACCAAGTATTCCCTAAAACATCACTATATTTATGGATTGAGAAAACTTTATGGTTGTAGGACTAATGTATGTATGCATTCTTTTGCATGCATGCATCACTATATTTATGGATTGGGAAGATTGTGTGGAGATTGGGGAATTTGTGTATGCATGCAGCACTATATTTATGGATTGTGAAATGTATGTATGTATGTATGAATTCATTATTCATACATCACTATGTATCTGGAATCTGCATATAGATCTATAACTAGATACATAAAACATAGATATTGCTCTATCTGCACTCTGAATTAAACGCTCGTACCATTACTTTTGCTATCGATTTCACAAATCAATAACCATAGATATAAAATCTTATTATTGAAGCATGTCATTGGTTTGCGTTTAAACATATATTACTTATGAACCCATCAAGCAATATTAATGGTAAAAAAAATATTATTCTTTTTAGAGTTTCTGGATTAGAGCAGTTGCATTTGCAAGTCGTGTGTGCGTTGTCATTTGTCAATGATTAAGATTATGATCATATACTATATTATGATCATCACATACTATTTCACAGTTTCTCTTTCGTTACCTTTCCGCGTCATATTATAAATTATAATATTTTTTTATTTTCATCAAATATTTTTATCTTGATTTTTGTACAGAAATTATACTATTGAATAAATTTTCATAAATTAAATATATATCACTTGAATAATGTTTTATCTTAATTTTCTGTAAGCTTTATTTTTAAAAAAATTAGATAATTAATATTTTATTCCTGACAGTTAATTTCTCTTATTAATAAACCAATTTTTCTTTTTTTTAAATCCCTTTTTAGTTTTATTTTAATTTCAAAAATACCATCTGTTTGAAATTCTGATAGTCAGCGGACGACAAGTCATCACAACTAACAACGGGGCCCAAGAAATGCATGGTCTTCAATGACGTGGCGAAACCTCATGCATTTCGGACAACCATTTGAAGTCAAAAGTACACGTGTCGATCGAAGAAGAAAAAGCTACAGGGAAAAGATCATCAAGTGAAGCGGGCCTCCACTTCCACTGGAACAAACAACACCCAAATGACTTGCTTCCTACTCCTCTTTGTTTAATAATAACCCATACATACCTTCCTCTTCCTTTGTTATCTCCCACGTTTCCCATGGCTGTAATGCGATCAATGAGCAAACTCAACATCAAGGCGCCACCTCCATCTCCCATCCCAACCGCCACCGGCTCACGATCCGCCGCCAACGAGATCTTAACCGACTTCCTCGAGAAATCCTTACATATCCCCGATTTAACCTTACCCGAAACTCAGGCACTCCGCCAGCACGGCCTGTCCGATAAGATCGACTTCCAATCGCTCGTTTCGAGAGAGAGAGATTCGTTGGAGAGGTTCATGAAATCAGCGAGGAAGTTCGGGGCGGTGGTGATATGGAGGCATGGGATCGAGACGGAGGAGTTGAGAGAGACGACGAAAGAGGCGGCGAAGGTGTTCGAGGTGTTAGAAGAGAGAGATACGGGATTGGATAGGAATTCGGGGGGAAAGAGGGATGAGATCGTGTGGGTGGGATGCAAAGAAGAGCGGATGGAGTGGGCTCGTCAATACATCGGCGCTCATTTGTATTCCAGTTTCAGGTACCCTCCCGCCATCTTCTACAGAGAATTAATATTTTGCTTCCATTTATTTGATTGGGCCTTTTGGGCTCATATTTTGGGCTAAAATTGGATTTTCTTAACATCTTAAGTACATGATCCCCATATATATATATAATTAAAATAAATCATAAAATTATGGAAAAACTTTGATTTGGTGTCTACTTACCAAAGTTAATTTTGACCTATTAGGTGATTTTAATTTTAATGTTAAAAGAGAATATTGTTTTCTTTAAAAACGATTCTAAAAAACAATCTTTATTCATTGTATGCAAATATAACTATTTTTGTCTGGAATAAATAAATTAATATGAAATTGATTAAATCAAAATTCTCATATCACATCACGTTCTACATTGGATCAAAGTTTTGTATAGTTTTAAGTTTGATTGCTATCTAATCTTTAAGTTAATTTGATATATCTTTCATTTGCTTATTAAGTATTACTTTTTTGTTCTTGTTTTATAAAAGGAGGGGCTGATCTTCTAAAGAACACTCTTTTAGGTTTATATCGATATTCTATTGAAACTTTTACATGCATGACAACCTAATTCTTATCAAAAAAAAGTTTATTGCTGAATTTGTTAAACAACACAAAAGGCTGTTACAATTCATTTGTTTTATAAGAGTTTGATTATTGCATATACAATGAACTGTCCTTTGTTTGTTTGGCGTGAAATAGTGAAAAGATAGAGAATGTGGCAAGTAAACTTGAGGAAGTTGCAGAAGAATTGGGGAAGATTTTGGTAGAAATTGCAGGCAAGGCAGGAAAGAAGGGAGTGCCAAAAGGAGTGTCCCATTTGAGCATATACAAGTACAATAACAAGGACGGTGATAAGTCGGCCGACCAAGATCCAATCGGAGAAGAAGAAGAAGAAGAAAACCAACATTGTTGTGATTATACATTGAGCCTCCACTTGCCAACCAAGCACTGCCAATTTTCAGCCAAATATGGCCATCGACTCTTAACTTTTGATGCTGATCCAGACACCATTATTGTCACCTTTGGACAGCTACTCGAGGCAAGTAATTTTCTATAAATCATGAGCCATCGAATGAATAAGAGCTTGAAACATAACACCTTTAACTTGTATTTTGTTGTTTATGGCAATAGGAATGGAGCATGGGGGACTTGAAATGTGTTGGGGGGAGAATTTCTTATCCACCACAACTGAGTGGACCCCATTACTCATTTTCCATTGAGCTCACGTGTGCATCCTTAAACATAACCCACTCTTACAAAAAATCTTCTAAAAGATTAATATCCTTAGGTGATCAAATATTCATTGCAGTCATTATTGTTTGCATTTACTCCGTTTTTATGTACAAAAAAAGTTCTGCATGATTTAGGAAGTTCCGTTTTCCTTTTACTTTGAATATCAAAGGCATGCGAATTCTCTTTATCACATCAAATATTGGTTTGGACAAATTTTCCTCCTACATGCTTTGATTGATCAATGCACAGATCTTGAGGCTTTGAGAAACGGATTGAAAGAGTGCACCGTTTGATAGTATATTATATATTTTCTTTCAATAGCGGATCCATGCATTTCTTAAGATAGACACATATTTATCTTAAAATTTAAATTTTATTTAATTATTTATTTTATTGATTATATCCGATCTGAAATTTTATTGTGCCACCTTATAAAAAATAATATTATTAATATATATCAATTCATCCTTAAAAAATGTTTTTAAATCCGTTAACGTTTACTTTATTATATTTTGTTTCTACCCGTGGAGGGATATGGTTTTAGTTAAGATGTCAATGTTTTAGGAGGCGACCTAATGATTTAACATTTAAAGATTTGCAAATTGTGAAAATGCATGCATCGTGAATTATACATGGCCAAAGAGAAAATCCAACCCAACACATATAATCTGGAAAAGATTTTGTTAGTCACATCACCATCAATATCTATTTGTCCACAAATCCATTTTTACTTTGCCAAGATGTCTTCCTCGTTTCATATAATATACATCACGCTTGGTCCAACAATAACTTGATTATTGTTTGAAGAAAATAGGAAGGGAGAAGGTAAGATCTACAAAAGTAAACGTGATTGTAAGTCAAATTAATTAACCCACAACAAATTAGTTCAATAAATATATGGGCGAAATATATATTTAATATGCCATTTAAATTATTTAAATACTATTTTATATGTAAATTACAAAAAATCAACAATGCCTGAGGTTGACCCTTTACGCATCTTGTAAGATTCTTCAAGATTTTTGCCCCCTCCACTCGTGCATTTTTTTTTGTCTAATTATCACATAATGCTGTCTCCTGCCTATTCCTATGAGTTTCAATAAAATTTCACCGACCGTGCTTGAAAATTTCTTCATTGCTCCTTGTTGGATGCCCATGTAGCTTCCCATTTGATTCTTGTCATATGATATCAAGGAAATAACATTGATTACAAGAGTGAAGTAATTATGATAAAATCAACTATTTTAATGACTGCAGTGCTAAAAGAGAAAGATTGTTATTTTTAAAGAATTCGGATTTGAATAGTTATGTTTGCATAATATATGTACAATATCAATATACTAAAAAAATTATAAACGAATATTATCTTATAATCACTTTAGATTATTCAAAAGAAAAAATAATTATGATAAAATAAAATCAAATTATAAAATTTGATTCAATCCCATATTAACTCTTATTTAATCAACGTTGATAAAATTAATCTGAATTTAAAATATTAATATAACTAGTTTGATTTCAAGTAGCTTTCCAATAGAAATTAAATACTATTTTAATCAACAATTAACTAAAAAAATTGTAATCACCCTACGGGTTATTTTGAGAGGTAAATATTATATATCAAGAAGCTGATGATATAACTAAGTCAAATTGGGTGTGCGAGTAGTTGTCAAAGGATTGATCACCCACGTGCAACGGTTGGTGAGGGGACATTGTTATATTATTTTATGTGCCGAATAATATCAACTTAGAACAGAACCCTTCCAACATCCACCTTATCCTACACTTTGAAACTTTGTAGGGTAAATTACTCTTCAGTTTGCCTGATATGTTAATAGCTTTTGTAAATGTAGACTATCATAAAGTTTAAGATATGCGTTGGCAGTAGCCACAATCTACGAATTAATGTTGGTGTTGTGCTCTTTCATCTCCTTTCAAATTTTTTATTTGACTCGGTCTATACTTGCGTCTCGCCGACAAATTCTCCAATTTGTATCAATTCGGCGTTTTTATACTTATAAATTTGAAATTTAATTCAATTAATTTTTTCTAATTATTCATATTAAATAATTATTTGATTTTTAAAAGATATTCTTAAAGCGTTCTTCTAAAAATTAAGATATAATTTTTAATAATCCGAAGTAATTACAAATTAGTATTTATATTCTTTCTTAGTTATTAACAATAAGTATAGCTTATAGATACTATGGCTCAAACTCACTTTTTATTGTATTAAAAAAAACTTAGAACTTCTAAAAAAATAA